ATGTTCAATGAAATGAATCAGCTTAGGAAAAATATACTTCGTTTAGTAAAAAATAACCTTTATTTCTATAGAAATTGCTAAGGCAACCTAAAATGTAACTATGTTCTTCCCAATGCCTCCTAGCCATTGCTTAAAGATATAAAAATAAATCAGACCCTGAGACTTCTCAGAGGGAACCTGCACATTGCTTGCGAAGGTTCTTTTCTCACTCGTCGGCCCGAGACCTCTCCCCTTCCTACCCTGCATCGACTGCAGCTGGTCTGCGGCACAAATTTAGAGCATTGACATAATCCACATAAGGACCATGTAAGGACAGAGAAAGGCAGGACATAACAGGCTAGATTTCTGGGATGCTTGAAGAGTGAGAGATCCAAAGGATATTTGTTTGCCCAGATTTCTAGCACTATGCAGAGGGGAAGGCAGAAATCAAGAACCAGGTGGGTGTAGTGATCCACACCTGTAGTCCTAGCTACTCAGGAGGCTGAGGCAGGAGGATTGCTTAAGACTAGGAGTTCAAGTCCAGCCTGGAAAACGGATATATCTTATCTCAAAAAAACCCCCAAAAAACCCATGGTCAGGCTGTTGTTGGATAGAGATGGAGAAGAACAGGCTGTTGGGGCACCCAGTCCTAGATGGAGGCACCTGCCATGCTCCCAGGGGTCCAACAGGGTGTCAAGCACAGTCTGGTCAATGCTAAGGTGCAAAGAGGAGTCCCTGTCCAAAGTCAGTCAGCATGTGAGGCTTTGTAGGTCAGGAAGCAAAACCAAAGATCTTTTGAAGAAACTTACCATATATAATGAGAGGAAAAAGACGACCAAAAAGTCTACAGATTTTTAGGGACTAACTCCAAAATATAAAAACAGGAAGCCGTGGTGGTGCGTACCTGTAATCCTGGCACTCAGAAGGCTAAGGAAGGGCTAGGGATTTAGCTCAGTGGTTTTGCTGCCTGCTGCGCAAGCACAAGGACCCAAGTTCGATCCCTGGTACCAAAAAAAAAAGAAGGCTAAGGAAGAGGATCGCCTTAAGTTCAATGCCAGCCTAGGCTACAGTGAGTTCAATGCCAGTCTGAAAAACATAGTGGTGGTGGTGGTAATAGTAGTAGTAGTATACATGTTTTTGGTAATTGAGCTTTACTAATAAGGAAAATGAGATTCTTTTTTTTCCCCCAGCACTGGGTATTGAATCTAGAGCCTTTGCACTGAGTTACATCCCCAACCCTTTTTTTTTTCTTTTTGAGACAGGGTCTTGCTAAGTTGTCTGGCCTAGACTCAAACTAACAGTCTACCTATCCTAACCTTACTCAGTGCTGGGATTACAGGCATGTGCTATCACACCCAGTGAGAAGAATGAAATTCTTGAGGTTCAAAACTAATGTTTCCTATTATCCAGTCCAGTAAAACTGGTCATCTATCTGTAAAGACCGTTTGTTGCTCATGGATCTCCAAAAACAAGAGATAGGCCTGGGGATTTAGCTCAGTGGTGCCGCCGCCTCCCTCACAAGCACAAGGTCCCAAGTTCAATCACCAAAAAAAAAAAAAAAAAAAAAGAATTTTACAATATGCGTATATTACCACAATTTTTTTAATTGGGTTACAAAAAAAAAAAAATAGTGGGCCAGCTTTGGCCCACAGGTCATAATTTGCTAACCCCTGATCTAAAGTACCCATTTGGTGGTTTCATCTACTTTCCATTCACCTGGTCCTAGGACTCCTCATTTGCCTATGCAAGGGGCACCCAACAAGATGGTGCACTTCTAAGGTAGTGATCTTCCAAAGCTCTCCATGAAGCTAACTATGCTGCCAAGAGGAGCTGTGGAAATCCCTGCTTTGGTCAGGAGTTTAGCACAGGGGAGGCATTTGATTTTCAGCTCACAGGCATCGGTTGGAAAGACTGAGGACACTGTCAGAGGTATTTTTTCCTTTTTAAATGTTTTCTTTTCCTTTTATCCAAAGATTGAAAGAAGCCATAAGTACAAGTAAAGAACAGGAGGAAAAGTACCAGGCCAACCACCCAAACCTCAGAAAGTTGGATGATGTAGGTGAGTAGGGACCTGTGTGCACACATCTGTACTTGGATCCTGAGGGGCCTCTATATTAGACCTTGAGGGCTGTGGGAAGCAGCTGCCTCTCTAGCATGAGACTCCAGCTGCTGGCATCCCATGTGCTAAAGAACCATGTGTGCTTTCAGAAAACGGTCAGTATTATATGGAGTTCCTTCCTCTCTCCCTCTACTCTGGACAGTGGACTAAGGAAGTGGGGGCCTGAGTCCCCTTGAAAATGAGCCTGCTGGGGCCGGGGATTTAGCTCAGTGTTTCCACCGCCTGCCTCTCAAGTGCAAGGTCCCGAGTTCAATCCCTGGTACCAAAAAAACCCAAAAAACAGTAGATCATGTACATGTACCAACTCCTCACAATGAATGTAATCAGTATGTACTAATAAAAATAAATAAAAGAATAACCCTTTTGGTAAGTATATTAGCCCTTAGAGCTGTCCATATCCTAATCTCCAGGAAATTTACAGTTATAGATAAAATTATAGTTGTTAATCAGCTGACCTTGAGATGGAGAAATTATCCTGTTAGCTGGGCTTAGTGTCATCACAAAGGTTCTTTATAAGTAGAAAAGAAGGCAGAAGAGAGAGTATTAGAAAGAGGTTCAAACCTGGTACACTGCTAGCTTTGAAGATAAAGGAAGCAGCCAGCTGCCAAGGAATGCACATGAGCTCTAAAAGCTGAAAAAGGCAAGGTCTCTGATTTTCCCCAAAAGCCTCCAGAAAGAACACAGCCCTGTTAATACCTTGAATTTAGCCCATTGAGACCTATTTGGAATTCCAACCTCCAGAACTGAAAGATAAGTTTGTGGTAGTTTGTCATGGCCCCAGGAAGAAACTAATAATCCCCAAGCCCAGGAGGAGAACAAGCAGCAGCTGAACATGCTAGATAGGATGTGTCTCAAGTCAAATCATCTCATTAATATCAAATGATAAATCTGGAAACATCTTTATCTGGGAAGGAATTTAGGCCCCTAGGAGCTGCCATAGACCTTAGAAAGCCAAGCGCATCAAAATGGTGCTAGAAACCAAATGTTGACTGTGATACCCTTGAAGAAGACAGGACCCATCCCAGCAACACCAGAACCTACTATGGATTCAAGCCTGGTGGCACATGCTTTTATCCCAGCAGTCTGGGAGGCTGAGACAGAAGGATCACAAATTAGAGTCTAGTTTGGGCAATTTAGCAACTTATCAAAAGCTTGTCTCAAAAAAATAAAAAGCTGGGTGTGGTGGCCCACACCTGTAATCCCATCATTTGGGAGGCAGAGACAGGAAGATTTCCACAGTTTGAGGCCAGCCTGAACTACACTGTGAGACCTTGTTAGGGCCAGTGGGCTGAAGGGAGGTCTGGTAATGCGAGGTTTCCAAAAATAAGAACACATGTGGACCAGACATTACAAAGCAGGAACCAAACTTTAATTTCTAGCACAGAACTTATAGTAGTTCTTTATCAGCTTACGAGACACAGTAAGACAAAACACTCTGAGTGACCTTGCAGGAGCCCCCATCATGCACCTGCACTAAACAATGGGATCGTGTCCTCAGGTGCCCAGGGTTTGACACATCTCACAGCAGGCCCCTACATTCCACCCTTTCAAAGATCACGGGGCTGCTACTTCTTGTAAATGGCACACAAGGTTGCCCCTTGTGTCCACAGCCCACAAAAGCAGTTCAAGGAACAACACATAACACATAGCAACCCCATTGATATTGCAGCACCACTGAGAGCTACCCAGTGCCAGGTGGATCCTAGGGATTCCCACCATTGGGTTAGGGGATCTTGTTGCAAGACCTGGATGGAAGACACTCCATATCCATCTCTTGTAAGGCCTCTTGTATTTGTTCCTTGTGGTCAGGAATAAAAACACAGCATTCTACATATAGAAGGGCACAAGTGCCTTCCTGTGCTGCAGTGAATAAATCCAGAGCCATACAGTTCTATAACACCACCTCTCTCATCTTGGACGTTTCATCCATGAGCAACATCAGAGACTGGCATGTGATATTTAAGGCCTGCACCATGTGTTGAGCTAGAGCTTCAACTTGGAGAGCTAAGTCTATAGTCCCTGCCCCTGGCACCAATGCTGCCACAGGATAAAACCACCAGGCCGCTCATGTGACCCAGTGACATCTGTGATATACAGCATCCCAATTGTGGGGTTTGACTGTCAGAGTGGGCCTGATAATACCCTTAATATAAGGACACCCCTACAGGCAGTGCTCCATCCAGTGCTTGGGGAAGTACAGCCAACCCATAGTGCCACAGACCTGTAAGACATCCACCATGGGCCAGTCAGTGGGGACTGTATCTATGAGCTTATGGCTATCCCATCAGGCATCTGTGTCATTCTTCCATAACATGTTGTTATACAAGTGCAGGGGTATCTATCCCTCTGTGTGATTTCCCACCAACACATTGACCTGTTAAATGCATAGTGGACCAATATCCAACAATATTACTTGATTCCCTGTCATCCACCCCCAACCATTATGCATCATGGGTCCCAGTCCTTGTGGGGTGGTTGTGCCTTTCCAGATCAGTGCCTCAACAGCCTGGCATCGCTGATCCCAGATGGGTCCAATCTGGTTCTGTTGTCCAGTTGCACAGACTGTCCAATGGTCACAATTTTCGGAAGGTCTTTGGCCATGTCCATAGAGAGTTCAGTGCACACCCAACAGTGCAGTTGCTGGTGCACACAAGCAAACGTGTGTGCCCAGGAGATGATGCTGTTAGCTTGACTCATCCTGATCCAAAGGACAGGGCAGAAAGAGAAACCATCTTAGGGAGGTCTTACCCTTCAGAGAGGATGCAGGCCACATATTCATCCTGCAATAGGCTGATGGCCAGGGTCATTTTACGTCCTGGTTTAGAATACCCCATTGCCACTGGAGGCAAGGGGGTTGGAGCCAGGTCTATCACCCCTAGGGGAATAGGCCAAGCAGCCACGATGTCACTTCCCTTTAGCGTGGTGGCCCCGGCATCAGTTGGAGAGCATACCAAGGCCTTCAGGTGCCATGTTGAAATCCAAGACTGCACCCCTATGTAGTGCAGTCCCTCCCACCAGGGCTCCAAGAGAAACACCTAATTCCTCAGCAGCGGGTCTGCGGGCCATTCCTAAGTCCATTGGTACTGGGTCCCTGGCTACATAGGCTCTAGTGCAGGAAAGATCAAATCCCCTTTTACTACCTTAGGACCTTACTCTGTTGGTCAAATGTGCAGAAGAGTAGCTATGCTTTCAAAAGGCAATCCAGTGGCCTGTCACCTATATGCTAGGGCTGGTCATTGAACAGTTGAACACCCTGTTATAAGGCCTATACCCACCTGATAAACTTTGGAGCCAAATAGGCCAGCTTAGGGCTGGGGATTTAGCTCAGTGGTTTCGCCACCTGCTGCGCAAGCGCAAGGACCCGAGTTTGATCCCCGGTACCAAAAAACAAACAAACAAATAGGCTAGCTTAGTTTTCAAGAGCCCATTATATCTCTCAGTCATACCAGCAATTTGTAGCTGGCAGGGCACATGAAAGTGTCAGGTAATGTCATTGTCTTTGGCCCACTGTACCTGAGTCCCTGTAAAGTGGCTTCCTCAGTCAGACGCTATTCCTAACAGCATCCCATATGCTGCAGTCAATCATTGTAATGCCTTAATGATATGGGCCTGGTTAGCAAATGGCACAGGGTAGGCAAAGCTTATATGTGTGGCAGTATCCACAGCAGTTAGAGCATATCTATGTCCCTGTGAGAGAGGCAGGGGGCTGATATAGTCTACCTGCCATTGCTGCAGGGGATGGGGTTCCCACGGTATTGCAGCCAATTATGTGGGCACCCTCCTCCTCCAAGGGGCCAGCTGAGCACATTGAGGGCAAGTATTCACTGCTGCTCTTGCCTCTGTGGGACTCACCCCATCACTGTGCTATAGCTTGCATGGTATGGGGCCTTACATGCCCCAGTTTCTTGTGGAACTAAGGCGCCACTGCTGAGGGTGGCCCTCGAAGGGCTGCTACCCTTGTCAAGGAGTCTGTTAAATCATTCCCTGGTGAAGGGAGAGGCCTATGTCCTGACACATTGTACACAACATATGTTATAGTCTGGCCACACTCCCATAAGTCTCACCATAACTCAGTACCCCATAGGAGTTGATGCCCTATCTGCCAGTCTTGGGCCACCCAGGTCAGTAACTAGAGTGTCAGCCTTCAGAATATGGCCCAACTATCTGTGCAAACATGCAGAGGTCATCCTCATAAATGACAAGTAACCACACTGCCCACAAGTCTGCCCATTGATTTGACTTGCCTATCCCAGCCTCAAACCAGAGTGTCTCTCTTCTGGGCTGGACAGCGACCACCGTCTATTGTGGGGTTGTGCCACAACTAGAGCCATCAGTATAGTATACCAGGCCTCACCCAGGGGTCTCTCCTTCCCTTCCACATAGGGACTAGAGGTCGTGACTGGTAACTCATCATCCTGTATAATTTCTTTGGCCATGTATGTCATGGGTCCCAGCACTGCTGCCAGTTCAGCCACTAGCAGGCTGGTGGAAAAGAGGCTCTTTGCTGTAGATATGTTCCCCATCATGCCAGGGTAGGGGCCTGGGCCACTCTACTCCTGGGATGGGACATCCATGTGCATACCCAGCCCTCTATTGGTTACTTAGTTTGCACTTCTACAGTCTATTCCCCCATGATTCCTTCACAGGCATCCAGAGCACCATATACTGCTGCTAACTGCTTCTTAACCTGCTTTCAGCTGTCTTCCACAACTGTGACCAAAAGCCAATAGGGTGCTTCCACCTCTCCTGCTTTTGCCACCAACCCCAGTCAGACCCACCCTCATCCATGTTTACCGTTGGGGTGAAAGGCAAGGTAGGGTCAACAACTCAAATGGCCTGTACTGGAGGGACTGCCCTCTTTGAGTCCTGGAATGTAGCTTCCACTGCATCAGTCCAGTACCATGTTGCACCCTTTCAAGTCATCTTACATAGAGGGCGCAACAAGGTGGCTAGGTGCAGAATTAAAGTCCACCAGAAACCTAGCAAGCCCACATACACTGTAACTGGTGTACAGTTGTCAGTCTGGGGTATGCTGGATCTTATCAGTTATTGCATTGAGGATAACTTTTGTCTTACCAGACCAGATAACACCCAAAAATTTGACAGATAAGCCGGGGCCCTGGACCTTTTCTTCGTTGATGGCCTACCCCCAGGCCAGCAGAACTTTACACTGTGTGCAGCAGTTTCCAAATCTGTAAAACAATCAGAAGTTAACATGACATCATCAACATAATGGAACAAAGAGACAGAGTGTGACTTGGTCCATGTGACCAGAGCCACTAGGACATGGCACAAAGGAGGGTTATGCAAATACCCTTGTAGCAATACTTGAAAAGTCCATTCTCTGCCCTCCCAGGTAAAGAGAAACTGGTCCTGACACTCAGGTATGATAGCAATGGAGAAGAATGTGCTGGCCAGGTCTACTACATAGTGGTATTGACCCAACATCAGTGAGCCGGTCATCAAGTCAGCAATATTGGGTACTGCCGCATGCAATGGAGTAGTCACTTTGTTCAGTTCCCGGTAGTTCACAGTCATTCTCTAAGTCTCATAGGCTTCTGCACAGGCCAAACAGGGGAATTGAAAGGACCTTGTGCGAGGTGTATCACCTTTGCTTCTTCCAACCTCAAAACAGTCTATCCTATTTCCTCATGAGCCCCAGGCTGCCGGTACTGCTTCAAACAGCCCAAGTTGCCTGTGGGAGAGTTAGTGGTGTGTGATAGGGATACCCTCAGATGATAGTTTTTATCACACAAATCCGCAATCTGAATTCTCCCTGTGTGGTGTCTAACCTGGCACCAGTCAGTATGTCCATCCCCAGTATGTATTCAGCAACTGGGGAAACATAAACATCCTAGGGACTCAGGGCCAAACACCCAATGCCCCAACCTGCATACCCTTCTTGCATGCAGTGGGTCCTGTGAAATGGTCTGGGTTGCCATTGATCAGCATTTACTCGGCTCCAGTATCCACCAACACCAGTACACACTGCACATTTTTCGGGGACCAATAGTTAATTGCACATGTCTCCCAGGGGCCCTAGAAACTGTGTACCTCAGCCTGTCTCCTAGTCTAAGTAAAAGGCTGCCAGCTTTAGCTCATCTTGCTTCACAAGGGCTGCCTTTACCTTTGGGCCCATGGGCCAGTATTGCTGATCAGGGCACAACTGCCTCCACAAAGACAGCAACACATCTAAGGGCTGCTCCTCCAACTTCAGACTTGTGTATCCAAAGAAGATCCTGGAACTAGTCTCACTCGGATACAGACTATACACTAAATCCAGAAAGAGATGTTTCCCCCAAAAGACATAAATTGGAATGACAGAGCTTTTTTGTCTGTGTATGGTAATTGAAGTTCAAGGAACATTTTAGGGGTCAAATGTGCATTCTTTAACATTTCCACTTTGCTTAAGTGAAAAGATAGCCTAGAAATAAATTTCCAGAGGGCTGAAGTTATAGCTCAGTAAGTAAAGCACTTGCCTAGTATGAGCCAGGTCTTAGATTTAATACCCAGAGAGAAAGAGTTCTAAAAAAGCAAAAACTCATCCCTTCCCATAACATAACAATCTTTTTTTTTTTTTGGTACTGGGAATCGAACTCAGGACCTTGCACTTGCGAGGCAGGCAGTGGCACCACTGAGCTAAATCCCCAGCCCTAATCTTCTTTTTTTTTTTCTTTTTTTCTTTTTTTTTTTGGTACTGAAGATCGAACTCAGGTCCTTGCGCTTGCGCAGCAGGCAGCAAAACCACTGAGCTAAATCCCCGGCCCCTAATCTTTTTTTTTTTAATGAAAAAGGGTCTCACTAAATTTTGAACTTGAGATCCTTCTATCTCAGCCTCCCAGATTGCTGGAATTGCAGGCATGTGCCACCACACCCAGCTTAACTTTTATTTTATTTTGGTTTGATTTTGGGGTTTTTGGTTTGTGGGGGGGTTTTGTATTTTATAGAGTCTCCCTATGTAATTCAGGCTGACCTTAAACTCACTATGAAGCCCACACTGCCTTGAATTTACAGCGATCCTCCACCTCACCCTCCCAAGTGCTGGGATTATAGGCATACCCCACCATGCCTGGCTCTTAGCTTTTGATTTTTAAACCTTGTCTCTACTAGGTACAGTAACACACACCTGTTAGTCTCACCTACTCCAAAGGCCAAAGCAGGAGAATCACTTGTGCCCAGGAATTCAAGGCCAGCCTGGGCAACATTGAAGACCCATCTCAAAAACACACATACAGGAGGGAGGAAGACAGATGAGAAGGGAAAGGGGATTTTAAAAAGAATCAAGCTCGTGCTCACTTCGGCAGCACATATACTAAAATTGGAATGATACAGAGAAGATTAGCATGGCCCCTGCGCAAGGATGACATGCAAATTCGTGAAGCGTTCCATATTTTAAAAAAAAAAAAAGAATCAAGCTGGACAAGGACCCTAGTTCAATCCCCGGTACCAAAAAAAAAAAAAAAGAATCAAGCTGGGCCCCAGGGATTTAGCTCAGTGGTGCCCTTCCTGGCTCACAGGTGCAAACCGAGTTCAATCCCCAGTACCAACAACAACAACAAAAAACACATACACACATAAAAATAAATACAAGTAAATAAACCAAGCTAAGAGGTGTGGCTCAGTGGTAGAGTGTGTGTTTAGCATATGCAAGGCTATATGCTGGATTCAACCCCTAGCACCAAATCAATAGAGGAAAAAGAATACTTTATCTCCAGATCTTCTCCATGAACCTGTGTAATTTTGCATTGATACAGTTCCTCTGCCATACTATTTTTTATGTAATGTATTTTTCCAGAGCTTGTGTACAAGGATTGGACCAAGTGACCAGTTTTTTAAGGCAAAGTCTTGCTACATTACCAAACTTGTGGGATCAAGTGGTCTTCCCATCTCAACCTCCTGAGTTGGGGAATGGATGGAGAGACAGGATCTCACTACATAGTTTAGGCTGGCCTTGAACTCACTAAGTATCCCAGTCTGGCCTCAAACTTGAAGCAGTCCTCCTGCCTCACCCTCCTGAGTGCATGTCCCATCACACCCAGCTAGGTTAAGGGTCTTTGATCTCCCAAGGGCTGAGGAAGAGGCTGGACCCCTGCCCTGCCCCAAGTAAATGTCTCCCTCCTGCCCATGAGCTCCTCCCTCATGCATTGTATCCTTCCCTGTCCCTATGCCCCTGCATGGTCTCAGAGCCAGCCGCTGTTTTCCTTCTACTGATCTCCCAAATTGAGATCAGATTCATGATAGGACTGGGGGGTGGTATGACTCAATGCGGGATGTGGATTGACCATTCTGGTGTTTCTTTCTAAATTCAGACTCTCAAACTGGCTCTGCTGTGAATACTGAGGCTTACTCAAAAAACCCACACCTTCAAGCCTATCACCAGAAGATTGACAGCAACCTAGGTAAGACTGACAGGTATGCCAGCCTCTGTAAGTCACTTGTCCTCCATGCACACGGAGCAACTGGTTAGTTGCTCCCTCATTCCATGTCACTCCCCACAAAATCACTATCTCAGAAATCTATCCACTTCTCTCCTTTTACTTCCTTTAGTCCCACCAAGCCATCTTTACGTCTTACTTGGATCCTGACAGCAGCAGGGACCTAAGAATTCCTGTGAGGTCCTCAGCAGTGCAGCCTGCATCCCACCAGTTGCTCTGTCTTTCCCACCTGGCCACATGGTATTCTGGTTTCCTGCCCTGTGAAACCAGCTTCCCCTGAGGGATGAGAGGTGGGTTCCATGAGCCAATACCATGAAGCACTTAGAAAAGTGCCTGGCCTGGTAAGAGTTAGCACTCATGTTGGCACATGGCCAGAGTAATCTTTCAGAAAAGAACTTCAGGTTCTGAAACACTCTCGATGATCCCCCCGCAGTTAGGTTCCTTGGCCCAGCTTCTGTCCCCCTCCTACTCCCAACTCCCTTCCCTCATTATTGTGGGCTCCTATGAGCCTTGTGATCCTAGTTATTTCTTCCTCATGTCCCCATCTGCCTGAAGTGTCCTTCCTTCCTGATCTTTGCAGGCTGACCCCTTCTCATGCCACAAGGCCTGCTTTAATGTGCCGCCTTCTCAGAGTCACTCAGAACCCCAGTATTTCCACAGTGCTGCCATTTGTCATCCTCTGTCAGCAGCTTTATCCACTGTCTTACTAACCAAACTTATCACTTCCAGGAGGGCATGGGAATGTTGCAGGTTCTTGGGTTTTTCTGTTTTTGAGGTAGGTACTGAAGATTGGACCCAGGAATTTACACATGCAAGACACACATTCTAGCACAGAGCATCATCCTCAATCATTTTTTATTTTTTTAAATTTACTAACTGAACCAAGCCTGCCTCAGCCACCCAAGTAGCTGGGATCACTGATGTGTACAACCAGCAATGTTTCCATTTTGTCACCACTTTATTCACAGGACCCAGTAGAAGCACTTGATTTTTTATTTTGCTTTTTTGTTTTATTTGCAACAGGGTCCTTTATGTAGCCAAAGCTGACCTTGAATTCACTATGTAGCTTAGTCTGCCCTTCAACTCATGATCCTATTGTATTCCTCCCTCCTTCCCAACTCTTTTTTTCTGTCCTCCTTGGATTAAACGATGGTTTTAGTCTAATCTTTTTCTATTCTTTTTGTTGTTTTTTGTTTTCTTTTCTTTTGCAGTGCTGAAAACTGAATCAAGGGCCTTTGCACTAAGCTGTTTTCCCAGCCCTCTTTTTATTTTTTATTTTGAGACAGGGTCTCACTAAGTCACTAAGTGCCCAGGGTGAGGCTTGAACTTTCATTCCTCCTGAATCAGGTTCCCATAGTGCTAGGATTACAGGTGTGTGCCCTATCCCCATTTTTCTTTTGGCCATCTTGTGTAGCTCAATTAAGAGAAACAATTATAGAGTCAATAAATGCAGTCTTTCGGAGTATTAAAAAAATGTTTACAGGGCCAGAGATTTAGCTCAGTGGTTTCGCCACCTGCTGTGCAAGTGCAAGGACCTGAGTTCAATCCCCAGTATCAAAGGGAAAAAAAAAAGTTGACATAAAACATGGATTATAGAGAATAGACATAAGGGCAAATAAATAAAAGAACTGTATTTCCACCACCCACAGGTCACCACTGTTATCTTCCATGGGAATGTTAACTTGTTTTGTTTTGTTTTTTGAGATGGGGTCTTGCTCACTATGTTGCCCTGGTTACTCTTGTACTCCTGGACTCAAGTAATTCTTCTACTTTAACTTCCTGAATAGCTGGGACTATAGGCACATATCACCATCCCCACCTGTTAGCAACTTAGACCTACATGGCAGGTTTCCCCATCAGGAGCAGGGAAAAAGACCCATCCTAGTACTTTCCACATCCACAGACTTCTGCCCCAAGCCCCACCTACCCTTTGCCTTCACAGCCCAAGGAAGCCGCAGCCGTCTGTTCTGTCCTGTAGACTCTAGCCTCTGAAGCCAGAGACTTCTTTTCTCTAATGTAGAAGGTGCATCTGCCCAGTTCTGGCTTCTGAGATAAACCCAAAGAGGCTCCAAAGCCCCTTGTCCTTTATCAAGAGAAAGGGAATGTCATCAAACCATGATATCTTTGATGCCTGCTTCAGGGGAAGGGAAAAGGGAGACCAAAAAGGAAGCTGAGTTCAAGGAGTGAGCAGGATAAGGGCTGAGGCTGTCCACCACTGTACACTGTGCATTTGTCATTGAGGACTTGTAGCCTAGGCATGCACCCCAAAGCACATGGTGTAGAGCCAAGGTCGGAGGCAGGCAGCTGCCTCAGAGAACAGCCAGCTGGCCCTGCTGACACAGAGCCACACTGGCACTTTTACATACGCCTCTTTCTTTCCCACACAGTCCCCTTATCTTAGTGCTCCTGCAAGCCACCTCTGACTTCCACTTCCTTGCCTCACCAGGCTCTATCATGTTTTAATGTCTTAGTCTAGATGTTTGCCTGGCCTTCACTCCCTCAGATCCTGGGAAGCTCCCTGATGTGTGAGGTGGCCACATAGGTTTTACATGGAATACAAGGTCATGGATTTCAGTAACCTCAAGAAGCATAGAAGCCAAGTATGGTGGTATATGCCTCCAGTCTCAAGACTCAGGAAGCCGAGACAGGAGGATTGCAAGTTCAAGACCAGCCTGGACTACATAATGAGTTTAAGGCCAGTCTTGACTTATCTAGAAAAACCCTGTTTAAAATAAAAAATCTAAACCAAGAAGCATAAAACCAGAGACTTATAAAACAAAACAAAACTGATTTTGCTTAGAGTTGTGGTGCCAGTGATAAATACTTTCATCGGAACTAAGGACCACCTCTTCTATCTCATCTCTGGCTCTCCCAGCCCACTGTTCTCAAAACAAGGGCAGACAGCAGACTTGGGTGCATCACCCCCTACCTGAGTGTACATGCATGCGTGTGCACAAACGCATTTGAGCACATACACTCTGACAAAACTGAGAAGGAGGCTTGCCTACTCCCTTTTGGCAGAATCAGTTAAGACTCATCTCAGCAGTTAGTAAGCCCTGCTAGGGACAATAGAGTCCCTCAGCATGTCCTTCCCTCACCCCCACTCTCTCCATATCATTTTGGGATTACAGGCATGTACCACCACACGCAGCATTCTTTACATCATCTTGTACGAAGTATACTTTTCCTACTCCTAAAGCTGGCCACATCCTTGTAGACATTTATCCATCTTAAAAATGAATGTTAAACTGACCATAGTGGGACATGCCATAATCCCAGCTCCCCTAAGGCAGGGGAGTCACTTGAGTCCAAGAATGCAGGGCTAGCCTGGGAAATATATTCAAGACCCTATCTCAGAAAGTCAAAACAAACAGAAAAATGAATATTAAAACTGAGTGTGGGGCTGCACCTGCCTCTCAAGCGCAGGGTCCTGAGTTCGATCCCTATTGGCGGGGGGGTACTGAGTGTGGTAGTGTACACGTGTAATTTTGGGATGCTGAGGCAGAAGGATTGCAAGTTCAAGCCCCAGCTTGGGCAACTTAGCAAGACTGTGTCTCAAAATTTTAAAACTTTAAAAGAGCTAGGGACGTAGCTCAATGCAAAGACTCTAGGGTCAATCCCCAGTACTATAAAGGGAAAGAAAGAGAGAGAGAAAGAGAGGAGATAAAGAGGAGAGAGAGAAAGAAGAAAGAGAGAAAAAGAGAGAAAAAGGAAGGAGAAAGAGAGAGAGAAGAAAGACAGAGAAGGAAGGAGAAAGAAAAGAACTGGAAAAACCTAAAGAGGGAAGCATAGTAAGCATAGTAAGTCAGAAGAATTGTACCATCAGAGTGGCTAGTTGTGGCCAATCTGCTCCTAGGCATCTTCCTCTGCTCACCTCAGTTCTGATTGAGTCTTGGGCAGGGCAGAACATGCCTAAAACACAGGTATAGAATTTGAACTTAGATCCAGTGGAATTGACCTTGATCTTCCATGCTTTATCTTGTAGTACACTTTCCTCCTTTGGAACTAGGGCACTTTCTCATCATATTCAAACCTGAATTTTGACAGCAATGGTGTAATCTATTGCAAGAGTCAAACGTTTTTTAAAATAAATTTTATTTTATTTTATCCTATCCCCCACCCCAACCCCCTAACCTCCCTATGTACAGAAGCTTTGTTTTCATTTTTTCCTTCTATTTTCACTTTTTTTCTTGTCCCCTCCTTCCTTTCTCCCACCCTTCTCCCTTGTTCCCCTTCCCATTTAAGAGTCAAACTTTTGAAGCTGGGTGTTGTAATGCACACCTGTAATCCCAGCCCTCTGCAAAGTTGAGACAGCATTATCGTAAGTTCAAGCCCAGGTTGTGCAACTTAGTGACTTAACAAGACCCTATTTCAAAATAAAAATTTTAAAATGACTGGGGAGGTAGCCCAGTGCAAAGGCCCTGCTTTTAATTCCAAGCACTACCACCACCAAAAGAGAGAGAGGCAGAGAGAGAGAGAGAGATGAGCCTTTGGCAGAAGTTGTTACCAGTTACCCAGGGCTCTGCCCACTCAGAACCCTCAGTACTTGGTTCTTTTTTTTTTTTTTTGGTACCAGGGATTGAACTTGGGACCTTGTGCCTGCAAGGCAGGCGCCGGAACCACCGAGCTAAATCCCCGGCCCCAGTACTTGGTTCTTTGACCTGGGGACCTTGGACTTCGGAGACCTGTGTGCCTAGACCACTGTTGTCTTCTTGCCCACAAAATAAGCAAAAGAAGTGGACCAGTGTGGTTCTGACAATTGCAAGCCAACTGGTAAATCAGCAGTTCATGTGTTCATGGATCTGGAAAGTAGTAGCAATGAATGAACAAATGTGGGAAACTATGTATTTAATAACATTGGTTTTCACAGTATTTGGGTCCTATAAAAACATCTGTAGTTCATTGTTTATGGGAAGAGTCCCCCAGATAACAGGACAGGGACAGAATTATCCCTCCTACCACTTGCTAAGTGGGCTGGGGATGCATCTTCTGAAGAGAGCCTGGGGCTGGAGCAGATGGTGCAGGGGCTCCAGGAAGACAAGGCTATCTCTCAGAAATGGGGATTCCCCATATTTGCTGCTCCAGTTCTGTACCAGATCCAACTGGAGCTAGAGATGGAAGGAAGGACAGCAGGCACTGCTCAATTCTGTCCACTTTGTGGGTTGTTTTGCTCCCAAAGAGCAGGTCAGTGTGGCAGGTATGGTCTCATATGCTTGTAGTCCCAGGTAGAGGAGGCTGAGACAGAAGGATTGCTTGAGCTCAGGAGTTCCAGGACAGCCTGCACAAGACAGTGACCAGTATACCTCTTCCATGTCTTCACCATCAGGTATGGGAATAGAATGTTTTTCAGGCTGTTCGGTTCTTCTCTTTCCTTTCGGTACTAACTGATCTTGAAATATGTAGCAACCTATTAGATCAGTGATGGAAGACCTTTTAGAGACCCAAACTGCAACCCAAAATCCACTTATTTATCGCAAAGTGCCAACACTGCAATTAAACCTGAATACTGAGGTTGTAGTTTAGAAGAACAACTATTATCCAATGCTTGGATGCTGGGGGAACTTGGCTCATGTGCTGACAAAGAGGGCTCCACACGCCCACTATAGCACACTGCACTAGATGGTCCAAAAGCACCTGAAAATTTTGTAGGTCTATATGCATTTTTTAAAACAGTGAAAATGGCTAAGGATATTGCTCAGTGGTACAGCAACTTGCCTACCATGCATGAGGCTCTGGGTTCTATCACTACCACCAGGGGGGGAAATACTGAAAAGACAAACACTGTTATAACAGTTGGTTACCTTGGAGCAGGTGATCAAAAATGTTTTCTACATTAAGCCCATACTACTTTTTTACCCCCTGGTACTGGGTATTGAAGCCTTCACAATAAGCTACATCCCTAGCCCTTTTTATTTTGAGACAGGATCTCACTAAATCATTCCACATATTTTAGAAAATGTAACCAAAGTCCTGGAGCTTAGCTTATTTTAGGAGAAAGAAAACTCAATAATCCAAGTGTTACTAAATACCTGGGAGGGACTAAGAAACATTTCCAGGTGCCGTTACTGTGTTTGCTCAAACTTGCATGTCATTTCTTTCTCTCACAGATGAACTGTCCCTGGGACTGGGCCGTCTGAAGGACATAGCTCTGGGGATGCAGACAGAAATTGAGGAGCAAGATGACATTCTTGACCGGCTGACAACCAAAGTGGACAAGTTAGATATCAATATAAAAAGCACAGAAAAAAAAGTTCAACAACTCTAAAGATAGAAGAGTTCTACTCTATTATGATGACAATATTTGAAAGATCTCTTTTTAAACTCCCAAGAAATTTCATATATTATTTTAATGTGTGTTTGCAAATGTTATAACAGAGTAGGTCTTAAGAGATTTTTGTTGTGATGAAGAAATGTGTGTCCTCTTTGTCTTAGGGCTGACACCTCCCTAAGTTCTTTCAGCAGAATGCTGAGAGTTTTGCTCTGAACACCGTAGCCCAGCCCTGAATATCTTAGGCCTTTGACTCTCATACTGCTATAAGATGAAAAAGTTACATTTTCATGAGTGTATGCAAAGATACAAGTAGACTTTCAGTCTTGCATCCACCACCCTTCATTTCCCTATTGGCTGTATTTTATTCCTAGGCCTTGTGAGTTCAATGTTATGGGACCCTGAGGGGGGTCCCCACCCCTATTTTTGTACAGAAGACCTCATACACCTACACAAATGCACACACACTAAGCACATTGTGTTTCTCTCCTCTCCCTGGAAAAGGATCAGTGTTAGATCTGAAGTGGAGTATAGCATTCTTTGCTCTTTTGTTGACAGATGTCACCTCCTGCCTTCCTGCCCTTTGTCAACGGCATGCATTTTAGTAGGAGGGCTTCAGAGTAATACCTGGAAATGAACAAGGAATTGGGCAAGCCCTTCCTCCCCACATGCCTTCTTCTCATGTTCTTCATCTGTGGTTGGGAACAGATTCTCCACTGACTCAAGGCCACCTGGCTGACAACAGGACACCATGTGGAGATTTTGGGAATGAGAGTATTACATAGATGTGGACAAGCAGTGTACTTCCTCCACTAAGCTTTACACCCTACCACAGTATGGCAGTGTTTATTGCGTTCTGGGGCCTCCTGCGCTGTCAGGACTCCCACTCACTCTTGTACTTCTTAAGTGTGACATTTAAATCATCGCTTGGTTCCCGGCTACCCAGTTTTAGGACTGGAACTTCACAAATGATGCTGACCTTATATGAAAGATTTGGCTAAAGAAAAAAAGGCTCAGATACAATTTTAACTAGCTCAGCTTGTTCTCTCTTTTCATATTATAAAAGGAATCATCTGTAAGTATTCATGCAATTGATTTCTAGAATAAAATTAAGTTTGTTACCTCCGTCAGAATCATTGAGCCACAAGGCCCTTGTCTTTTTTTTTTTTTTTTTGGTACCAGAGATCGAACTCGGGCCCTTGCGCTTGCGAGGCAGGTGCCAGAACCACTGAACTAAATCCCCAGCCCTGCCCTTGTCTTTTTAAAAAATAATTTAAGATATTTTGAAGATGGTGCAAGGAACTGATTTTAGCCGGGCGTGGTAGTGCAGGCTTATAATCTCAGAACTTGGAAGGCTGAGGCAAGAGGATCGCTGTGAGTTCGAGGCCAGCCTGAACTACATGGACCCTGTCTCAAAAAAAACCCCAGATTTCTGTTTCCACAGTTTAGTTGGAAACAAACTGTGCCTTCAAATAAGTAACTTTTTCTAACTTTAGGTCAATTATATACTAAGTGTGCTATTAACAAAAAATAAAAAATTCTCTTTTAGAGGAAAATATTTATAAAATCTAGCATTTTATAATTTAACAGCAGTGGAATGACCTCATTGATGTCTTCTTTGTATTCTGTAAGACAGGAGACCTGAACTTAAGTGGTGAGAAAAAAGTACAGCACTACATTTTCTTTCTCTTAATTTGTTTTTGTGAATATATGATTTTAAATTATACTACACCAGTTTAGTAAAAATCAGCTTTGCCTATACAAACCTTTTCTGCAAAATTTTTTAAGCGACCATTGTTGTTAAGCATCTTCAGCTCTGATAAATGAAATGTCTTGTGTAGGAATTGATGAGCCAGTCATTGAATGTGGTCATTTTTCAGGGAAGGGGTGGAGGGCTTTTTGGTCAATCTGTATCAGGACAGCTTGTATGCTCCTCCATGTCTTCAACTCTGCAGATGAGCATATTCCATAAAATAAAATGTGAAGTTTTTCAATCAAATTCTGTCTCCTTCATAGATGTTTTCAAGGAGTTAGTGGAGGGAATCCTCCTTTTGGAGTCTTCGTGTGTTTGGTCCTTAGGCCAAATTTAGAAACCCTTTGTCTAGGGCATATAACTCAGTAGTAGACCACTCACCTTGCATGCTTAAGGCCCTGGGTTCCATCCCCAGCACTACAAAAAGAAAAGAAAGAAAGCTGCTCATGTCATCAAAAACTTTTCTAGTCTATCTTCTAACTCTTCACTCCCTCTGCAGCAACACCAAGACCTGGCAAACATCTGCATATTTTTTCATTCCCCAGTCATCTGTTATCTACCTCAGTAAATGGTACCACCTCTCATCTAATAGAGTGGCTTGGCAAAATTTTTTCTTTTGTCCTGGTAATTGAATCCAAGGCCTTTGCACTGAGCTACATTCCCCAGCCCTTTAAAAAAATTTTTTTTAATTTCAAGACAGGGTCACTAAGTTGCCAGGTTAGGCTCAACCTTTCAGTTTTCCTGCTTCAAACTCCCAAGTGCTGAGATTATAGGCATCCACTACCACACCTGACTTTCAACAAAATTCTTAAGAGCCATCTGTTCTAGTCCATTTTGTCACTGTAACTGAACACTACAGACTTAAGAAATTTATAAAGAATAAAGATTTATTAAGCTCATGGTTCTAGAAGCTGAGAAATCCAAGGTTGAGAGGCCACACTACTGTGGGCCTGCTTACTGGTAGAGACTTAAAACTTAGCAAGTATCTGTAGAGGGCTAGAGATTAAATGTTTTAAGTGCACAGGCAAAACAGTCTCTATCATAACTATTCAACTCTGCCATTGTAGCACAAAAGCAAAGAATACATAACTGGGTGAGAGTTTATTTATGAACATGGACATTTTGAATTTCATAAATTTTTTTCACAGTTCACAGTACTGGGAATTGAACCCAGCACTGAACTACAGTCCCAGCCCTCTTTTTTTTTTTTTTTTTTTGAGACAGCGCTAAGCCTCTGAATTGCCCAGGCAAGGTTTAAAATTTCAGTCCTCTCATTTCGGCTTCCCAAAAGGTGGAGATTACAGGTATGTGCCACCACACTCAGGCCATCTTGGAAATTGTTATCTGACAATGGACTAGCTGCCCATGTCCCAGAGGCCACACTCGTTTTAGTGGATATCATCTTTGGGCATCACTGTAAATAAAAAATGATGAAGGTTTAAACATGAGCAGTGGACTTTTCTGGGGCGATGATGCACAGGATATTACAGAAGAAGAAGCATAAATGAAAAAGCTCAAGGTGACCTTTTCCCTCTGGGTAAGGGAAAGGGCCACAGTGTGGGTTGTGAGTTGGAAATAACATAAGAAAACCAGGAAAGTCCCAAAAAGAAAGGCCTCATGAGTCCAACAACAAGGAGACACTGATGAAGCCTAAGCAAGAGAGTGACGTGATCAGATTTGGAATTTAAAGGGATCATAAATAAGAGCAAATTAACCAAAATCCCTAGAAGCCACCTAAGGAGATGATAGGGCAAATTATTGTTCTGTTGTGGCTGTGAAAAGTTTCCAAACAGCATATAGGCTAATAATTATGAGATTAATATTATGGGGAAAAAATGGACATAAAACTAATTACTGTATACAGTATGGTCCCAATTTTGTGGAAAAGCAAATCAATATGTGAATTTTTTTTAATTGACTTTTTTTTTTTTTTTTGGTACCAGCGATCGAACTTGGGACCTTGCACTTGCAAGGCAAGCACTGGAACCACTGAGCTAAATCCCCGGCCCTTTGTCTTATAACAATGAAGACTTACCTGTGAGTAGGCTAAAGAGAAGACTTTGGAAACTGTCCAGGCAACTGAGACACTGTGGCACATGCCTGTAGTCCCAGCCACTCAGAAGGCTGGGGCAGGAGGTTCACTAATTTGAGGCCAGCCTGGGCAACATAATGAGACCCCAACTCAGAAAAACTAAGAAATGGTCCAGGCAGGAGCTGAAGAGGATCCCCAAACTAGAAGGATAATAGGGCAGGAAAAGGAATGGGAGTTTCCAGGCTTTAATGATTAGGCAATGAGGGATGATGGAGAGGCAGAATTTGATGATAGCACCCAGGTTTCTGGTCAAAGAAGTTAGCAGACATTGTTTTGTTGTTGTTGTTCTGTTTGTTTTTGCAGTACTGGAGATCAAACCTAGAGCATCATTTAAGATAGACAAACACTCTACCATCCAGCTATATCTCCAGCTCTGTTTTATCTTGTTTTTTGAGACAGAGTCTTCCTATGTAGTTTGAGCTGGGCTTGAACTTACTGTGTAGCCCCAGGCTGGCCTTGAACTGAAGGTCCTCTTCCTGCCTCAGCCTCCCAAGAACTAGGATTACAGGTGTGCACCACCACAACTGGCTCCTCAGGTCTTTTTTAAAACTTATTTTTTATTTTGAGCCAGGGTCTTGCTAAGTTGCCTAGGGACATGTGCAGCAGCACACATCTGTAGTCCCAGCTCTGCAGGGAAGATCAAGACCACCATGGGCAACATGGCAAGACCCCTCTCAAAAAACAAATAGGCTGGGAGTGTACCTCCGTGGTAAAGTGCTTGCCTAACATACATGAGACATTAAGCCTGATCCTTAGCACCGCAAAAAATAAAAAAACCAAAGGCAGAATTCCAGTGAGAGGTGTTTAACGTCCTCAACTATAATAGAAGAGTGCATTAAAGGTTTCCAAGTGCACTAAACTCCATGAGAGGGTTTCGTGGAGTGGCATGGGTGCAGAGTGAATATGCAGCAAGAAGAAGGCAATTACTCTCCTAAACTTGGCTGAGAAGGAGAAAGACAGGGTGATCAACTAGGAAAGAGGTGGAGAACAAGATCACAGGAGAGATGAGAACTGAGCATGGTGATAATTCTAGCACTTGTGAAGCCAAAGACGAAGGATCATGAGTTCAAGGCAAGCGTAGGCAACTTAGCAAGAACTTGTCTCAAAATTTAAAAAAAAAAAATTTAAAAGGGGAGGGGAGGGGCCGGGGATTTAGCTCAGTGGTTTCAACGCCTGCTGTGTAAGCTCAAGGACCCGAGTTTGATCCCCGGTACAAAAAATAAAAATAAATAAATTAATAAATAAAAAGGTGAGGGGAAATCTGGGGATGTAGCTCACTTTAAAGGTTTTAGGTTCAATACCCAGTACCAAAAAAAAAAAAAAATACCACAAGGGAGAAATGGGACTTTCTATAAGGGCAAAGGGGAAAGAACATTAGGGGAAAAATTGAGCCACAGAACTCAAAAAGAGAAAATTCTTTCCTCAAAGAAAGAAATGAAGAAAGATAGTAGGCATACAAATTGTGATTCCTGGAGCTGGCTAATGTAATGAAGTACACAAACTAGGTGGATTTTTTTTTTTTTTTTGTACCAGGGCTCGAACTTGGGACCTTACGCTTGTGAGGCAGGCACCGGAACCACTGAGCTAAATACCCAGCCCAAACTAGGTGAATTTTGGAACAGAAATTTGTCTCGGTTCTGGAGGCTAGATGTCAGCAGGGTTCTTTCTGATTGGAGAAAGCTCTGTTCCAGGCTCTCTCCTTAGCCTGTAGAGGGCAGTCTCTGCTATCTCCTTGTATCTTTTTGTTTTGTTTTATTTCTGGGTCTTTTTTTAATCTCCTTATATCATCATCATCTCTACCTCTGTGTCTAAATGTACCCTTTTTTAGAAGGATACCAATTGTGACCTATTCAAGGCCCAATCACCAATCACGGCCAGCCTGGGCAACTTAGTGAGACCTCCCTAACGACCTCATTTTTAGTTGGTCACCTCTCCAAATAATGTCTCATTCTGAGGTACTGGGGATTAGGACATTAATATAGTAATTTGGCAGGGGAACCACAGTTCAACCCACTAAAGATACAAATAAGTTTGTAGCTGGAAGGAGCTGCCATCTGACAGTCTTTGAGAGGTTAAAATTGGTAAAACTGAAGTAAAAGAAGAGATCAATCACCAAAGAATAGACTATTGTAGACCCAGCTGAGATGGGGGACTAAGAAAGACAACAGTAATTAACACATCTCACACATTTTAAAAAGTAGAACTAGACTTGAAGTCACCAGTTTCATGACTGCTTTGGCAGCAGATAGCAGAGGCTCTTGCAGTTTGGCTGGAATTCAAGAGAAGATTTCTCAAGCCAGGTGTAGTGATCCATACCTGTACTCCCAACACTCAGGAGGCTGATGCAGGAAGATTGTGGTGAGTTCAGGCCCATCTGGGCTACACAGTGAGTTCAAGGCCAGCCTGAACTACATAGCAAGACCTCATCTCAAAACAACAACAAAATGACCAGGCCTTCCTGTCCCTGTGCTAGCTAGCAAACTCAAGGAAAGAAAATGAAAAGTCAAAGCTCTGATCTCAGGTCTAAGGTAAGGGTGCAGTTCCTTATCTAGGATCAGAGAGCAGAAGTCCAGGTGCCACTGCAAGAGAAACCACTAACAGCTAAAAGACAACCTACCATGTGGGAAAAAAAAATTTTTTTTTGGTACCAGGAATCGAACTCAGGTCCTTGTGCTTGTGTGTTGAGCTAAATCCCCAGTGGGAAAAAATTTTTAGCTGCTGTACCTCAGACAAAGGTCTATTATCTAGAATATATAAAGAATTGAAAAAAATCAGACCCCCCCAAAATTCAAAGACCCAATTCAAAAATGGGCATCTGAAATGAACAGACATTTCTCAGACAAAGAAGTAAAAGCAGCAAACAAACATATGAAAAAATGTTCAACATCACTCGTCATTCAAGAGATGCAGATGAAAACAACACTGAGATTCCACCTCACCCCACAAAGAATGGCTGCTATCAAGAAATCAACCAATAACAAATGCTGGTGGGGTTGTGGGGAGAAAGGAACCCTTCTCCATTGCTGGTGGGAGTGCAGACTGGTGTAACCACTGTGGAAGTCAGTATGGAGATACCTCAAAGAACTAGGACTAGAGGTCCCATTTGACCCAGGTATTCCCCTGCTGGGTATCTTCCCAAAAGAATTAAAAGAAT